CTCTGCAGGCAGTTCCAGCCTCAGGGACCGACCGGCAGCGACCTGGTGGCTCCCTGCTCGCCTTCCCCTCCTCCCCTGCCGGCAGTGCAGCCAACGGACCAACTGACCCACCTACAGGCGCGGGCGCTGTGGCGGCAGGACGCTGCCAGCGGCCCAGGGGTTAATGGTCCCGGCGGGGGCTTGGCGTGGGACACAGGGGTCAGATGTCCCCTTCCCCAACAGGGACAGGCTGGCAGGCTGCTATTCTGGGGCTCTGATCACGGCCACCTATTTATAGCGCTGGCCCCCAACACGCCAGCAGCGGAGCAGCTGCCTGCTGCAATGTCAGCGGCGTGGCCGACACTGCAGGCTGCCGGCACCTCCACCGCGGCCCAAGGAGACAGAGGGGCCGCAGCCCGCCAGGAACCCCAGGGCCGCCAGGCGCAGGGTGAGGCAAGGACCTAGCAGGTCAGATGGGCAGCACCGTGGAGCCCCCCGGGGGCGGGTACCTGCATCTCGGCGCCGTGACGTCCCCGGTGGGCACGGCCCGCGTGCTGCAGCTGGCCTTCGGCTGCACCACCTTCAGCCTGGTGGCCCACCGTGGCGGCTTCGCCGGCGTCCAAGGCACCTTCTGCATGGCCGCCTGGGGCTTCTGCTTCGCGCTCTCGGGGCTGGTGGTGGCCTGCGAGTTCACGCGGCTCCACGGCTGCCTGCGCCTCTCCTGGGGCAACTTCACGGCGGCCTTCGCCATGCTGGCCACGCTGCTGTCGGCCACGGCCGCCGTCATCTACCCGCTGTACTTCGCCCGGCTGCAGTGCCCGCCCGAGCCAGCGGGCTGTGTGGCCAGGGACTTCCGCCTGGCCGCCAGCGTCTTCGCCGGGCTCCTCTTCCTGGCCTATGCCGCAGAGGTGGCCCTAACCCGGGCCCGGCCCGGCCAGGTGGCCAGCTACATGGCCACGGTGTCCGGGCTCCTCAAGATCGTCCAGGCCTTCGTAGCCTGCATCATCTTCGGGGCGCTGGTCCACGACAGCCGCTACGGGCGCTACGTGGCCACCCAGTGGTGCGTGGCCGTGTACAGCCTGTGCTTCCTGGCCACGGTGGCCGTGGTGGCCCTGAGCGTGATGGGTCACACGGGGGGCCTGGGCTGCCCCTTCGACCGTGTGGTGGTGGTGTACACCTTCCTGGCCGTGCTCCTGTACCTCAGCGCTGCGGTCATCTGGCCCGTCTTCTGCTTCGACCCCAAGTACGGTGAGCCCGGGCGGCCCCCTGACTGCCCTAGAGGCAGCTGTCCCTGGGACAGCCAGCTGGTGGTGGCCACCTTCACCTACGTCAACCTGCTCCTCTACGTCGCCGACCTCGCGTACTCCCAGAGGCTCCGCTTCGTGCCCGCCCTGTAGCCCAGCGGGCGGCCCGCCCTCCTCTGTCCAGGGGTGCCGGGCACCGTGACAGTGACCCAGGGGAAACCAGACCCTCCGGACACGAGCGGGAGGAGACAAGCAGCACGGCCACTCCCGGACTTCAGCAGCGCTGGCGGCTCGGGGACAGGAGCAGGGGACAGAGGGACGGGGGCCCCGGCGGGACACGGCGCGCCTCCGCCAGGCAGCTCCCAGCTCCCCCGTCTGTTCCCCTCCATCTCTGTCCGTCTCTGCCCGTCTGGCCGTTTGCCTCTCTCGGTCTCTAGCTCTGCGGTACTGTCTCTCTCCACTTCCTGGCCCCCCCGGGGTCACTCGCGTAACACGTGAGAAGCCTTTGGAGCAGGTGCTGTTGTGTGACCCACTCTGCAGATGGGGACACTGCGGCTAGGGTTTAGGAGGCGGCCCTGTGTGCCCACCAGTGTCCAGAGCCCACATTCGGGCTGAGTATCTTAAGCAGAGTTGAAAGAGGGACAATTCCCAAAAGCGTGGGGAGGGGTTGGACAGGAGCCCAGCAGAGGGTCAGAGCTGGGCCAGTGGAGGGGCGTGGGAGGCAGCCCCCTCTCTGGCTTTGAGGGGACAGTTCCCTGAACCCTGGAGTGACAGCTGTCACAGCAGGGCTCTGCTGGGGATGGGTGCCCACTCGAAGGGCATGCTGGGGGAAAGCCGCGTTCCCTCCCAAGCGGGCCCCCCGCCACTGTCCCCACGCAGCAGCTTCTGCAGTGTCTGCTGTGGGCCCCGGGGAGGCTGGCCCACAGCAGCCACCAGTACATGGAGCCTGGGCACCGGGCCCACAACCTCCGCTTAAGTGTCCATTTGCCCAGTCGCTGACATCTGGGGCCTGCTGATCACCAGGGCCATCGTCCTCCACGTCCCAGCCAGCATCTCCCGCCCAAGAGCCCAGCCCGGGCCATCCCTGAGCACAGCAGCACCTCAGCCCACCGACTGGCCAGGGCCTTGAGCAAGAAATAAATGCCAACGCCAATTTTCATGCTGGCTCTGTTGAGCAGTCTCTGCCAAGGGCGCGGTGGCCGTCTGCACCCCCTAAACCCCATGCCCCCAGCACACTCTGAGAAGAGCCTGGACCTGCCAGGCTAAGGGAGAAGATGGCTGTGGGGGAGCCCGGGGTACCCTGGGAGTGAGGGACAGCTCCCGAGGAAGGGACAGGCAGCGTCCTCTCCCTCAGTGGGGACAAGCATGGGGAAGATGGGGGTGACACTGAGCGTGTCATCCCAACTCCCGGCCATGCTCAGCACTCACCACCACCCGACACCCCCACTGGGGTTTCCAGGCCCAGCAAGGCAGTGGGCAGCGGGCTGCGACACCCTGATGGGCGGTGGGGCCCAAGCAGCTTTCAGGCATGCTCCAAGCGGCCACCTGCCCACTAACGGGTCCTTCTCCCCGGGGGGAGGGTGTGGCAGGCTCAAGGGCAGATCCCGGAAGGAGGCAGGAAGCCTGAGCGTTGGGCAGGTGGGTCTTAGGGCGCACATTTCTAGATGACAAAGGAGCATATGGGCCACACCCTTCGCAGCTCACAGGGAGGCCTGGATACCAGCGACCTCTCCTTTTCTAGCTAAATTTCTGAAATGAGTTATGTCACCAACTTCCCAATTTCCTCCCTGTCCCCAGCGCTCCACCCACCCCACATTTCTCCCTAAGGTCCGAGGGGGACACGGAGCAGGGGAGGGATCCAGGGCTCACGAGGAGCCTGGCAGAGGTCTGGGTGCTCTCCTGGGGTCGTTCCCGCTGACACTCTGTCCCGGGCTCTCTTGGACACGAGAGTCAAGTGCTGCTATTACTTGAAAAACGGTACTTTTTAAAGGAGAGCGTTTCCTCCGCTGACTCTGGACAGTCAGGGGGATGCAGTGCAGCCCCGGGGGCCGCATCCCGCCCGGCTGCTCTCCTGAACGCCCCAGGGGGTGGGGTGGGGGCTGATGGCCAGGATGGATGGATGCGGAGGCCTGGAACACCGCCGTGCATGCGGTCATCACACAGTGCCCTGGCAGTGGTGGCGGTTGTGGTCCGTGTCAACGAAAAGTCACAGCCCTGCTTTTGCAACACAAACAGCCGAGTAATTCTGAAATTATCTTTTAGAACAGCTTGTCATTTAGTTTACAGAACTGATAAAGTGGCTCATGCTTTCTCCGGGTGGGGGGAGGGGTTGGCCACAAGGATCATTTCTTGCCGCCCCCTTAACCCTGCCGCTGACCGCGGACCCCAGACTATCCTGAACCCACGCGGACACTCAGCTTAGATGAGCCCTGAGCTCATCCTCAGGGGCAAATGCCTGGAGCCACCTTCTCTCCAACACTCGGGGCCCAGAGCTTGGACACTGCAGATGTCAGGTCACTGGGATGCGCCCTGCGAGCTGAGGCGGGCACTGTAGGGTCATCTGCCTTTTTATTAGTTGACGCCCCTCCATTGGTTGACACAGAAACAGGGCTATGGCCTGAATGTCATGCAGCATTCGAGGGGCACCTGGTCCAGATGACACTTGGAACAGAGGAAGCCCAGGCGGAAGGCGCAGTGGCTCTCAGGGGACCACCCCAGGCTTCCCAGGGGCCCCCATTCTGAGATTCTGAGAGGGGCTGGCTCTCTCTCCAGTTTTCCAGCCTCCTGGCACAATAAACAAACTTTTTGAATGACAAAATACAGTGTCAAAATAGTGATATATTGTAATGTTTCCATTTGGCAATTGTTTTCTACCGGCGCCGCCCACCGCCAGGGCGAGCGAGCGAGGGTTCTACACGGGAGGTCTCTAAACGCAGCGATCGCGTTCGAACAGGTACCGGCTCAGCCAGCGCCGGCCGCGCGGTAGCGGACGCCAGCCTGACCTGTCCCGGTCGGTGTGGACCACAACAGAGGCCCGCGTGGGGAGCCCCTGCTCAGGGCTGCTCCTTGAGGGGAGCCACTCCCGCTGCCCCTGTCCCGGTGTCCTCAGTCCCTACGCGCGGTCCCAGGGACGCGGATCGGAGGGGGAACAGCAGATGGGGTTCGGGGCAGGGGGCCCGGGGGCGCCCTCTGGGGGGCGGCGGGGAGACG